ATCAGGTAAAGTTACAGGTAAAGAGAATCTTTGGACTGAATGAAAAGAACCAGAAGCTGATAGTTTATCTGCTGTAGAACCCAGTCTGTTGGACTGAAGAACCAGTGGATGATTTTAGGGACTGAAGTAAAATGATCGATTTAGAACCGAATCTCTTTGGTTCAACCCAGATCTTTGCTCTGTGCTTTTATTTTGAAGTCCTGCTCTGAAGCCTGAAAAACACTAAAACAGGAAGCAGCAGCGGCCGCGCGGAGACAAAAACACACAAACAAATAAAGAAAGCAACAAACTTACTGCCTGAAAACAGCCTCTCAGACTTACCGGCTGTCTCAATCCAATTCTCCCAGTTTAACCAGTTTGTCTCCAGCTCCGCTCCGACGCTGCTCTGTGCACACACCACCCGCCGTTACCATGGAAACCAGATGCTCTTTGGTCTGATTGGATGCTCAGACAGAAAACAGGAAGCAATAAAACCCCTCCCATATTTCTAGTGGTGGATTTACTAACATTACTTTATTATTTGTTTATAAAATAAAACTATTTATCTGTGGAGGATTTTTTTTTCTGGACAAAAACGAACAGCAAACATTTTCAATTAGAGAGCAGAACTACTTGGACTCCAAACATGTAACGCTCAGCAGGAAGAACCCTCTATATTTAGTAAAAAGTCTGAACTAAGCATCTGCAGCCTCAGAGCTGAGGATCTATTAAACTGTGGAGGATCAATTCTGCCATAATTAAAGATAAATAAAGAAATGACTCATAAATATTAATCTTAGGCGAAATAATGGCTTGAAATGTAAATAAATGAGCCTTTAAATCAAGAGTGTAACTTTGTGATGAAAGGTGATGGGGACACTTTAAGGGTGGGGGCTGATGGACCTACAGTTACTCGACACAAACGCTTTCCATAGTTAGGGTAGTTAGACATTAATGTATAAAAAAGGATAAATAACAGGATGCCAACAGCAATATATCATGCCTCCCTAATATAAACACAATTTCAGTTTCATTCATCTATCCAGAAAAATGTGGATTAATTGACGGATGTTTTTCCTTTCAGCTGCATGAGGGATTAACCTTCTTCAAAAGCGGCAAAAATTGAATTTAGATAATTTTCCACCATATTGTCGAGAGCCAAAATGTATTAAAATTATTGGTGGGGACATTTCCACACAAGTCCTACAGAAAGTTACAGCTGTGCATTAAATGCAAAAAACTAATAAAAAAAACTAGAGATATACTTAAAAGAAGATACATTATTTTGACATAATTATATTTATATATTTTATTTTGACTGCTCTATTTTTATCTTTGCACTTTTATTCTCATAGTTCAACAAAGATTATTTGTTAGTCTTACTTTTTCTTTTCTGTTTTTATTATCCTAACCTCTTTAGTTTTCTGTCTTATTTTTTGACCACCCAAGTATAATTAAAACATTTTTATCCACCTTTATGCAATTTTCTCATTATTTTAGTTTGCTTTTTATTTTTATTAACTCATATATCTTGTAACTCCACTATTTTATCAGCCAACCGATTTCTCTTAACTGATTCTCATCCTCCCCATCTTCTCCAGAAGCACCATAGAGAGCGTTCTGAGCAGCTGTCTCACTGTGTGGTGTGGAGGCTGCAGCGCCTCAGACTGGAAGAAGGTGAGAACAGCAGAGAGGATCATGGGGGCTCCTCTTCCCTCCATTAAAGACATTTCATCCCAGCAGGTTCTGCAACAGCTTCTCCCCCACCTCAATCAGAATGCTGAACTGTTGAGAAAACTCTAAATCACATCAGTCTCTGCATCAAACTGACCATATTAATGCGTTTTCTTGCACCATGTCAAAACAAGATTTCATTTTGTAGACACTTTGTATACAAAATGAAAATAAAATTTGCCTAAGTCTAAATCTAAGTCTTGAGCCATTAATTTTTGCATCTTATGTTTCTTCTGCTCGTGTTTCCACCCTTTAGGCTTTATTATTTACTAATTGTTAGTTTGCTTCTTATTTTTAAAAACTTGTTCATTTCCGCCTCTCCTTTTTTTTCTCCACCCCTTTTTCTTTCCCCTGCAGCTGTAATTGTAAAAACAGAGCCGCAGGCTTTTGGGCAGCATCACCGCCGCAGCTTTTCTCTCTGATTGTGTCTCTGTTCTGTCCTGTGATGGACTGGAGGTCTGTGCACCCTCGACAGGTCTGAAACCTTAAAGACTGGAACTACAAGTATTGACCCAGAAACAGTTGATCAATTAAGCAGCAGAAACCCTTCATAGAAAAAGCTGCTGAGCTGGAGGAGCTGGAGGAGACAGGGGACGCTGCAGCTTTGAGTCATCAGCTGCTCCAATGAGTCTCTGTGATGTTTTTTATAAGAAGAGCTCGGACCCTGAAGAGAAACTGGATGAACTTCTGAAAAACCTGCTTTATCACAGCAACCAGTGAGCCTAGATCCATTTATTCATCTATTTTTATCATGATATATCATCCCAGGATATTTTTCATTTTATGGAAATTATGTTTTGCAAATCCTACTGGAATTATTCTGGGTCTAATGATATATTAGATAAATCCATCCATTAAACTTCCATCTCGCTTATCCCAAGTGGGGTGGCGATGGGTGCTGGTGCCTATCTCCAGCTGTCAATGGGCGATGGACTGGAGACCCTGGACAGGTCTCCAGTCCATCGCAGGGCAACACAGAGACAAACAGGATAAACAACCATTAATTCACACCTAAGGAGGATTTAGGCAAAGGCAAGGCAAATTTATTTGTATAGCACAATTCAGTACAAAGACAATGCAAAGTGCTTTACATGATTAAAATACAGGAAGATAAAACAGAATCAAAGCAGGTAGGAAAAAAAAAAAAAATGCAGAAACAAAAAAAGAATATTAAAAACAGTTGGATTAAAGAAAACATGTTTTAGTTGAACTGTTTAACTAGAACAGTGGA